TAGAACAAAAGGAAATGGCCTCAAGTTGCGCTAGAGAAGGTTTAGACTGGATATCAGGAAAAATTTCTTTATGGAGAGAGTGGTCAAGCATTGGAACAGGCTGCCCAGGGAGGTGATGGAGTCACCATCACTGGAAGTGTTCAAAAAATGTGTAGACATGGCACTTCAGGATATGGTTTAGCGGGCATGGTGGTATTGGGTTGGTGGCTGGAATTGATGATCTTAAAGGTCTTTTCAAACCTTGATGGTTCTGTGATGCCACAGAAGAGAAAGAGGGAATGACAGTATGTTACAGCAGTCAGTGAAGGGCCCTGAGCCTTCAAAGCTCACAAGACAGGAGGGGGAACACCACACTGATCCCTTCTTTTATAACTGCTCCTTGGAAAAATACATGTAATACATATTACTAGTGACAATGGCCAGGCATTAAAGAATGAACTCTGTGGTCACTGATGAATTTCAGAATAGTTACATCAGTAGAAAGTTAGAAAATAAGCATTTTTGCCTGTAGATAATGCATCACAATTTTCCTAAAAGAAAACAAACAAAAAATCCCACATGCAATGGCTTTAGAACTACAGCAAGTCTCATACTTCAGGTTTTACACGTTAGGTCTCATCTGGGCTATTACTGGCCTCTGCAAGGCAAGCCAAGCCCCATAATTACAGTGCTTTATAAATGAAGGAAAGGCAGAAGCTTGTCTCAGAGAGCTGATCTTATCTGCTTGTCATCTGCTCTTCTCAGTATAGCTCCTGAAAACGTAAGAAACAGCTTGCTTGCTTGAGGTTGTACATGAGCTTGAAAAACTCTGCATCAATGCACAGAAATATCCTCCTGCATTGCAATGGAATTATAAATGGATGTACATATCAAAATGCAATATACTCCATCCCGCATTAATGGCTCCTCTCTCCTCTCTGACAGGTTCTTCAAGGATGGCAAACTGTTCAAAGTGGGAGCAATTTCTGTTATTTGGAAAGCTAGTCTTACCTTTTCCAATTCTAGGTCCAAGTCCTCCGGGGCCAAGATTCCTTGGCTAGCATACCTTTCTTACAGATATAACCTTTCAAAAAGCTGCATAAAGAGGTGGCTGTAAACTGCTTTAAGTCACTGAAACCAAAAGAGGAAAAGTAGCTCACTGCCACTTCTCTTATTCCTATTCTTCAGGTGGTGTTTGGCATTAACCTGACACAGCAGAGGACTTTCTCTTAAAGAATGGTTATCTTATGCATCAATCTCTTTCACCCCACGTTGTTAATGGAATAGCAACATATTCAGGCAAGGGCTTTACACTGTACAGCAATAATTTTGCCAAAAGCTTGGTTCACTGTTGCTCGTCTGTGGAAAAGTCTCACCATCTCAGTTCTGAACCTAGTTTAATGAGCCAAACCACGAGTCATCCTACTAAAGGCAAGTTTAATTTATCAAATTTTAATTGCACCTTCCTATATTCTTTGCAAACGCTGCTTTAATATTAGATTACATTAACACTGGTCTCTGTCCTTTCTTATTTTCAAAGATTGACAAGGTTGCTGGTAAATAGACATATGTAATGTGCACAGTTCATATACAGTGTTATATATACACGCAACAAAAAGCAGCATACAACTTTCTCCTTGTCTCCTTTCACTCCTTATCTGCATTTATGACCCCATAACACATGCTTTCTTAATGCAAATACAAAACACAGCAAGCTCACAGGGCTTTGATAAAAGCTCTCAAGGAATACTTATAAGCTGAGAAGCTTCTGGAATTTCCATTTTCTACCATTCATTACTCTGATAAACAGCCAGAAAACATGACAGGAGTACAATCTGAAAGCTAAGAAACTGGAAAACCAAGAGAGCTCAAAATGTCTTCTGAATTAAGATTTTTAGGCAAACGTTGTAATATATCAAAGGGTACTGCTTTTTTCTTTTAATGTGTGAGATGGCAATACTGCTTAATGAGAGGTAAGCATAAACTGCAGCAATTAGAAACCTGCAAGCATAACAACCCTGAGAATTTCAGTTGTAACATACTGATGATCATTAAAATACAGTGTTTGCTTGTACATTATGATATCCCTCATATTAAGCAAAATGGCAAAGGAATTCTCAACTTCCGCAACACCAAGTGTTTTGTTACAGTCTTTAGTGTAATGTGTGACGTGTTTCCATTTTAATGTGAGCTGACAAGCATAAGAAATAACAGCACTCTCACCTGGTTTTTCTGTTCTAGCTCTTTGACTGAACTTTGAAGTTTTTGCAGCTCCTGAACATACACAGCTACCTCCTGAGGTCCTTTGGCAAGTTCAGCTCTTAACTGGTTAATGGTAGCCTGAACACACAAACAGAAAAACCCACATTTAAAAACAAAGCTTCGCATGCATAACGCAATGAAAAGCAAGATGTCTGGTAGCAAAATAAAAGGCATCTTGTATACAAATAAACAGCTTCAGAAAAAAATCACCTGCAAACTCATCTCAGAGAATCATCAGCTATAGAAGTACCACTGAACAGAATTTCCCAGCTGAGATTCATTCGTGTCCTATTTCAGAAGACATAAATTTGCCCCAGTCCAATAGATAACGCCAGGCTGAGCACACAACCGATGAAAGTCACAACAGATTATCCATTAATCGTTATCACAGTTCTAGCTCAATGTGAAAACCTCCCAAGTCATTGCAGTTACACGGCCAAAAGCTTTGCCTTCCTGGTAAGGGAAATGTAGTGGAAAAGGCACTAGACGCAAGTCTGGCATCTTATGCAAACTTGTGTGACTTTTGGACCCATCAACCCTGTAGGTCAGCATAATCAGGGTAACAATACCACCCCATTAAATGGGATTGGTATAGAAATGACTGTACAGTAATGAAAGCAAACAAGAAAAGCACTTTAGATGGGTAACAATGGCTGCCCTAAAGCATGCTGTGAATGAATGCACTCGCTATGAATACACTATATAACAGTGACCTTTTTAAAGAAGTTTCCTTTCCTACTGTTCTCATAACCACAGATTTCAGCACAAAGGTATAAATACTGAATTCAAGAATGAACTAAAGCAGTAGAACACAAGTAGCAGGCAATAAGCATACTATTTACAACCTTCCTACAGAAAAAGGAAGACCCAAGAGAACATATGAACACTTTATATGACTACATATAGTTATTAATTCCGACTTTCTGTAAGCTGTGCTTTGCAAGGCTGTTTCATTACAGAGCTGTTGGCTAAAACACATCCTTGAGATCCATCTTTGGCAGAAAAAGAATCCAGGATGTTCTCAGAAAACAGAGTACAGATATTTCACTACTGAGAGAAGGTAATGCAGAAATGGGCAGAAGCTTGCTAAGGACACCACTGCAACCTTTCGAACTAGAAGCGCAATTTGTATGCATAAAAGATACATTTCTCTCATTCACAATTCAATAAGCCAGTCCCACAATTCATTCTTAACACTGAACTATATCATGGATAAATATTCATTCCTGATACTGTCTGGATGATGTGTCTGTATGATTAACGAAGCAATAAGCAAACAGGAATGCATCTGTTTAACATACTCTTGAAATTATCCTGATACAACAGACTACTACAAGAATAAGAAGCTTTCAAAAAAATTTACCTCAAATTTAAGTGTCTCCGTTAGAAAGCAGAAAAAATAAAATGGATGTATGAAAGACCAAAACAAGCAGTCACAAAAGCTGTTAGCAGACGCACTCTCTCAAATTTGTTTTCAAATATATTCTGGTGTTTTAATGCCTTTGCTTAGTGGGGGAAAAAAAAAAACAAACAAACAACGGTCCTGGCTTTATTAAATTTACCCATAATTTAAGCTACTAATGTTACTCTGCACTCAAGAATCAAGTCTAGGCCCTGGATTTTATGAAGATTTATCAGATAGTGAAACAAATCCCAGTCTGCAGAGATTCATAGAAATGCTTAGCTCCACAGCAGTGCAGCTGTTTTCATAATGTGTTTACCATGCAGGAGCAGCTATAGTGAGAAATTAAACACGGAAGGAGTATCTCAGAATGAACACTCATTTGAGATACACAGACACCAGAGTTTCAGGTGCAACTCTGACATAAGGCATAAACACCCAACAAAAACATAAAAAAAAAAAAAAAGGGACAACAATGAACATATTTAGGCAACCATTGTAGAGCTATAGTATTCTTCATAGCCCTCTCCTGCAGCATTTGCTCATATAGCGTTAAGATGATCTTTGTTATTCTCTTCACCCCCATCATAAATCTAACTTATTTGAAAGACATCTCACTTTGGAAACCAGTATTAATATATGTATCCTCAGCCAGCTTGGCAAAATAGCCAAGGATGGCGTAAGAACCACTTTACTCTTTCAGCCCTTGAGTAAAATTTTACGGTCAGGACTGTACCCATTCTGCCAATAAAGGATTTTGATTTCTTGTTTTCTTATGGTTAACACTTTTCACAATTGTGGGTTTTTTAAGAAAAGTAGAAAAATTTTCACCACAATGACTTTGAGTAATTTTATTTTTTTCAAGTCTGATCTGTCACATTACATCAACAGAAAAGCTTTTATTTCAAACATGTCTTGGGCTACTGTTGCCATATGTTGGAATTAAGCAAAGAAGGCAGGAACATTTCTGAGAAGAACCAGACTGACACTGCTTACCATGTTCTGTCACGCAGCAACTTGGTCTTCTCTGGTTCAGCCTACACACTGATGATACTACACAGACATCTGATATTATTATAATTCCTGCAATGTAGTTTATAATCTTTCCATACATCTAGGACTTCTTACATGAACACATAGTAACAGCTAAAGGCATTGTGCAGCCTTCTCCCCCATCTGCCGTTACTTCCAGGAGGACTGAAAAAAACCTTCTTCATTTGTCTTTTTTTCCAGTCAAAGGCTGCACTTTAAAGTTACATTTTAAAATGGCTAGTTATGTCAAAACTTAAACATACCTAATTTGGGGGAAGAGGAGCAATTTATGCTTCTGTGAGAAAGTTTTAAGATGATTTTTGTTACGCCCATGTCACCATGTCATTTTATCTTCACATGAAAACTAAATATCCCAAACCACAAAAGACTACAGAGACAGTACTTTGAAATGAAATTTAAATTCTGCAGCATAGTTGTGGGATCTCACAGTTAAAACCAAATTACAATTATGCAGCAACTTACATGGCCACATAACCACATTATATTCATAACTCCAACTGTGATATTCCTTTTTTCACATCTGATGAAGCTCTTGGCATACATAATTTTAACTTGAAAACAATGGTAGATTCATGTTTAGTACAATACTGTACCCTTGTACAATTTCTGGAGCTCAACTTATCTGTTGGGGGGGAAAGGCAGAAGGGAAAGCTCTAAGGAGTTTAGAATAATGCCGGGCAGCGCTTCTCTAAAGCTCTGCAATGCAAATGAATAAAGTTAAAACTGCAGTTTGGAAATCTAGGGCACATGAAACCCCAGAATACCAAGATATCTGGAATCCTTCACATCCCCAAATCTCAACAGGACAGAGCATACTAGGAGTTCTACAGAAACTCCAGGCGTTCCCCCATGTTAGCTGGCAGAATTCTGCAAGGACCCCACTTCACTAGGGACCACAGCCCTGCGTTGACAAGTTTTGCTGGCATTACTGTATTGGTATGGGACAATAAAAAAGGGAGAGCGCAAAATTAAAAGTTCTCGAACACAGCTGACAGTCTTCAGTTAAGATGGTTACACTGTCAAGCCATTCGTTAATAAAACTATACCAACCAACTTACTAGTGAGATGTGACAACACCCAGCAAGAGAATTCTTCTGCAGGTATGGATTTACCAGCTCCTCAGTAGAATAAATTATACGTTAGACAAAAGCCTTTTTGGTGATGCTGGATTTTTATTAGGATTTCTTGCCATTATCTGTGTCAGAGATTTCCCTCACTGTCATGATAGTCAACATCAAACAGGCTTTAGCCAGGAGGCATCTGAGACAGTTCAAGAGTCAAGTACCCTCTGAAAGATCCAAGTCAGAGCTGTTAAATCCCTTTTTCTCCATCGTGCATGGAAGTGGAAGCATTCACTGGTGGAAAAGCAGAGGAATCAAAACCAAGAAAACTGAGTATTTATTTGCTATGGGAGAGGCACTTAGTTTTGCTTCCTTAAACATGGAGTTATCATCAATTCTATATGCAATAATAACAAAAAAGGGCTAATATTTACAAATCTCCCACCAGCAACTTAAACTTCTTCCACCAACTCAGCCAAAGCAGAGGGCAAGCCTTCACAAAATACTTCTGAAGAAACCAGCATATTCTGCAAATCAAGTAGACAGTGAAGTCCCTTTTAAATGGGATGAATTTTAAAAGTTCAAATACAGGAAAATATGGAGGGAAAAAAAACTAACATGAGAACAATAGATTTTATTTTCTAGACTGCAGCAACAAAGAGAGGAAAACCAAGGTGGTGTTGCCCGGAAGCAGATTACAGGTGACATCTTGACATCTTGACTTTAAGACATGGTGAAGCCTGGCAGTCAACTCACTTTCTGCTCTAGTGGGTAACAGGGAACACTTGGAGGCCATTATGCAGTGGACTGGGGGCACATGTGTGCAGAACAGATTTGTACCTTACACACAAAATATTCCTACAATAAATATTAAGTGTAAAAAGTCTTCCTATTTGACATTGAAAACTAGAAAAAACAAAAATGAAAACCAGTTTACAACAGCCACTGAGATTTTTAAATCTTGTGTAAGTTCAAGAATTATGTATGTCCTGTAAGAACATTCAAATTATTATCTACTTTGTATTAAGCATTTTTTTTTATACATTTTATCATTCTAGCATCCATTTTCAGACACATCAACTCAAATATTAACCATCATTTTCAGTAACAACTGTTTCTATTTGCATGTAGCTCAATATGGGAAACAATTCTTTCACTCACGCAGGTACTGCTCTATTTGTCTCTCCCAATAGAAAGAGCACAGCTCTGCTAGAAGGTTTTTTCCTCTGCTGTTGGGCTCCTGTAATAACTTTTTATGCCAAGGAAAGGTTTTGCAACAAAAAGCATGAGGGCTTTTGGAGGGCAGATATTGACAGAATTAGGCAATTTACTGTAATGAAGAAACATGTCTATTAGATAAGTTAGAAGATTCTGTTAAGAAAGAGGCTTTTTCACTATGAAGAATTAACACTTTCCATTTTCATATGAAAATCATGGCAAAGCTAACACACATATTTTAGGTATGACTATTACCTCCGAGTTAGCCTGCTGTGCCTGTAAGTGCTTGCACTCATCTTTCAGCTTTTCAGATTCTCGCTCACGTTCCAGAGTCATTTTGTCCATCAGCGTCTGAACCTGGACCAGCTCCTTTTTCAGGACGGCCACATCTTCCACACCAGGCCTTTGTAGCTGAAAAGTAGAAGAGCAGCAATGAGCGACATGCTGTTCGCAGACATGCTTCCACTGTCAATGTAATCTCTAAAAGTCTTACAGATTGTCAATTTATAGGCAGGGTGACACACACAGTGTTACAGCTGTGGAAAAAGGAAAGGAAGGGGGAGGGAAGGAAAGGGGGAGAGAAACCCCCAAAAAAAATACCCCAAATGCAAAACAAAAAAAAAAAAGCAAAGCCAAAAACTAAACCCACAGAAAAGGATGTATCACTCCCAAAAGAAACAGGATTTAATGACTGGTTGTCAGTTCTGGCCTACTAAATGTTGAAGTTGTTGATTGATTTTAACCAAATCTGACAAATGGGATAAGGTCTCCATGATTAAATTTCTATTATTTTCATGTAGGCAAATGGCTGGGTACAGGAGGGAGACCTTCCCTGGGAGAAAACACTGAAGTGACAGGGATTCTATGCAGGAAATCTATCTGAACTCATAATTCCCTGAGAAGTAGCCTGTACTGATTCCACCACTCTACAGAAGAAATTACTGTATAATACTATATTGCTGCAATACTCGCAAGTCCCTCTCAGGACTGAGACACAGAACAGTCCAGTACTACACAGACTTCTATAATGACACTGTCTCTGTCTTCAAGAGATATTTCAGAAAACCGTAAGAACAAACAAAAAAAGGGCAGCTGAAGGAAAAGTCTTGAAGGTACTGTCAGACATGCCTTATACCAGACCCATAGGCAACATCTGTTGGTAATTACACCTAAAACACCATGCTGTCCCTCAAAGTGAAAAGCTATGGAGGGGAAGGGAAAGGCAATACTGGGCACCAAAGAACATAGAGGAAAGGAAGTGCAGGCATCTAGACGAGAAAAAGTGCAGGAAAAAGGGTAAGAACACAGAAAGACAAAGGAGGACAAGAAACACCTAAACAGATATAGAGAGGAATGGATAGGTCCTGTGGCTGTGCAGGGCCAAGCAGGACTCATGAGCCCTTCAGGGCAGGCAAGAAGTGGGATAAATGAGTCCTACTTTCCTCCAGAGTCTAAGCAGTTGTTGAGTGGAGGAATGAAGACAAATGAGAAGCTAGGAAGTATCCTTCACTACTGCTTTAGAAGCAGCATGACTGCTGAGTCACTGGGATTGTTCCCTGGAGTCACGGCTGTACATAAAAGTCACCAGGAGACAAAATGCTGGAATATACACACATCGGTATTACCAGCCAAGTGCAAGAGGGACAACATCAACATAGGCATGGTGATGACAGCTGCCAGCCTTTCAGCCACCATGTCACAAAACAACTCTCCGAGCACTTCTTATGAATGCAGCTGTCCAGAGACAGTCAGAGCGTAACACCTCACGGAAAAAGGGGTGATGTAACGACAGCTATGGAAGTCAGTACTGGCATGCTCCAAGTAGAGGCCTGCTCAGCACATCTATACGTGTGATCCCCTGCAAAACTGCTGAAGGGTAGAGCATCAAACAAGCAGACTATAATATAATGCAGGGTAAATTTAAATATAGAAGTCAGACGCTACTTATATTTCCTCACTGGAAAAACACTGAAAATGTAGGTCAGTGAAACAGATCAGAAACAATGGTGTTCTGAATTTTTTCGGCCCACAAGCAGACATCTCCAAGTTCAACAGAGTTTGACTGCTTTAAAACTGCATTTGCAATCATTTAAGGATATCCCTCCCTTGATTTGAAAATAACAAAAACGTTAGTATGATGTGAATACCAGCTCTGTCTTTAAGTCTTCCACTGTACTCCTCTCCTTCTGCAGTTCTTGTGTCAGGTTTGTCACTTTCTGTTCTGCACCCTCCCGAAGGCTGATTTCTTCATCATACTTTGATTTTAGATCTAATAAGAAGGAAGCTGAATAAATGAACACTTGCACAAGTTGCACAAGTATAGAACAGAATCAGACCTCATGTTAAGATACTCACCCACAATTTCAGTGGCCAGTTGTGCTGCTTTTTGCTCAAATAAGTCTTTCATTTGCTTAATGTTAAAATTTTCTACTTGGATCTCTTCTAGCTGCCGTTCTAATGACTCTATTTCCACAAAAAGAACAGTATTATTTTCTGGAAGAGCTAGGACAACACATTTACTCATGCCTGTAATGAATCACAGCAGGTAAATAAGTAATCTAAGTTCACTTAACATCCAATTAGCTTATCAAAATGAACTACTTTACTGAAGTTAAATATCTACAAGCATGATGCTGGAACTTGTCACTAGTTGAGCACTCTGAAGGATTAAGTACTTATTGGTTTTCACAGGTCACAAATAGACCTTCAGATCACTGCAACATGCTGCTGAATTCTGATCCCCAAACTGCAACTGAAAGCTCTTTAATCATGATCAGTCAGATATTTTATGCACACATTAGGACAATTTTATTCCATGAGTGCTTCATGGAGAAAAACAGAGCAAAAATTATTGGTCTGCAAAACAAAAAAACAAACAAAAACATTCATTGTTTTCTTTGCTAGCAATGAGTACAGAAAAACATTAAATAAAATCAGCACTGACAAATGCTATAGTTTAAATATCAACAATCACTGTCTTTCTCAGCAAAAGACTTGTACTGAATGCTTGAATACATGAAATGATTAAAAACATGTTGAAAACTACTGATGAGAACTGCTTTCAGAGTCAGGAAAACTCCTGTCTTACTTCTAAAAATTACAAACCCCGAGCCTCTGGAACATTTCCCCAGACTATAGCTATCAAGAGCTATCTATCTTGAGCACTCCCAATGAGCTTTTTTCCCAGTAATTGTACCATTCCAGCTTTCTAGCTCTTTAGTTTACCAAAAGTGCTTTTTCATAAACCTAAAAGCTACTCAAAAAATTTTCAGAAATTCCAGAACAGTGCAGAAATTAATGTAATAAAATGTTAGCCACCTGTAGATGTAGCCGTTGTCAATCCATCAGACTTAGAATCCTTAAGAAAACAGAATAAATGCATCATTAGACAGTAGGAATAAAAACTACTACTTCCAAAGTTCATTCCATTTTTGGAAAAGATGGGGAAATAAAGAATTCTGTGCTCAAATATTGCACAGCAGTATAAAAATACCTGATTTCAATCAGTTATATCTGGAAGACTGGAAAGGGCCAAGATGATTTTCCATTTCATGTATCACTACACTATCAGGCTTACAGATTGCAAGACTCCAGTAACAATCCCCTCCCCCTCCCTTTCCTCAATATTGAAATCTGCCCTAAAAACGGAGGCTATAGACATCATTAAATACATTCTAAGAAGGCATTCTGCCAGAAAGCAATTTCTGAGGTTTTTAACAATTCAGTATCTGAGTAACTCATAGTAGCAAAAGGAGTTAAGAGCTTCCTTAGGGTACAACACACCACAATTTGCCTTTTCTTGTTTGTTCGGTTCATCTGGACATCTGTGAAATCGCACTACTGTTCTCCAAAAGTTCTTACAAGAAAGACCCCATCGCCCCTTCACGTAACAGATGAAACACCACATTCGATTTATTTTCTTTAACAAACTGGTTCTGAATAACCCCAATGGAAGGAAAAGTCTGAACTGAACTTGTAGTGAGTAGTATGGAAGAATCATTATCTATTCTGACATTGTTCTTCAGATATATATACACAGTTACATTGTGGAGAGATAATCAGCTTTGTTGTCAAGAACACGTCAATATTCAAGTTATGGAACTAACTAAATCAGGCCACGTGCCTTACAAAAAAGGTATTAATCTTCAATGTCAATGCTGATGATAAACCTGCTTCAAGTATTTTAAAGCAATTACTTGCTGCCGCTGGCCCTGCAATTTCTCTAGTTCTTTCTTCAGCTCTTCTGAATACCACCTCTCCTCCTAGGGGGAAAAAACACACCAAAAAAAAAAAAAAAAAAGGAGATGGAGGGAGAGAACTGTAAATTTGGTTGCTTCAGACAGGGCAACACTTTGCAATTTGAAACAAAGAGCCAAGTGCAAGTAAAATACATTTCCGACCTTCAACGAAGCTTGCAAGTCTTGGACTTCTTGTCGGAGCAGTGATACTTCATCTCTGAATAAATATATCCACAGAGTGGAGAAAATGAATACGCAGTGGTTATATTTTGTAAATTACATACAGGTTGTAACGTGTATTAAATAACTGGAGTGATAGCCAAGTACTAATTAAATATAACTCACATAATTACGGTTATTTTTAGATTTTTTGAAACTTGGAACAAACTGGATTAATAGATACTTATTAGTTCATTTTGCACATTGCTTGAAAATTGCGAAATATATTAATTGGATAAGTAAAGAAAGAGATATGCAAAAAGTCTCATGAAAACAGAATGTAACTCTAAATTGGTGCATCAGCTCCACCACAAGTTTAGAATGGCAAAGCTGTGCACTGGGACATTTAATTGTTTTGCATGACTTCTTATGAAAAGGATCAGTCTATTCTCCTTCACTTCCCGTATCATGTAAAGGAACACAGCTAAGAGACAGCATGCTATCTTACTCCTTTTGAAATATGCAGTTACATAATTTTTCATCCACACAGCGATTCGGTATGCCCCACAGACACACTCACTTAATGGTCTGAATGTTTAAAGCCTTGGGATTTTAAATTCTCAGATTTCGTGCTTAAGCCTCCAGCCATGGAAGAACACAAGATCCAAGGCTACAATTGATTTAGACAGCACCCTTCTAAATCGCAAGTCTTTACAGAACTGCACAACTATACATACAAGGATAATGTTGCACTACTGAGATACTGACACTCCACATCTAGAATACACAGCTCATTAAAATATTGCAAACATACCTTTTGTTTGTACAGTGGCAACACTGAGGAGTACTCAGAATATGTGTGTGTGTGTGTGACAATGCCAACAAATTCTCTCAGTTTTACAGCATACAATTTTATTGCTGCTGTGCTGCGTTATCTCCTCCTCCAGAGATGTTCTTTTAAATTATCTCATACTTAGGAGGAAAAAAAAAAACCCAAAGCATAGACTGTGAAGGAATAGATTCAATCTACATTAGCATATTAACATCAGGTCAGGGTCATCAAGAAGCAAGTGAAACACCTGCACTTGAACCAGTGAAGTAAGGACTCCAAGGTGGATCAATTTTTAACGGCAAAACAAACATGGGATATTGGGAGGCTAATTTTTTTCAGAGGAAGATTTTCTGCTGTTTACTGGAGGTTCACAAATACAACTTTACTGAGATGGGTTGAAGCTGTAATCCAAAACTCATACATTGGCTGTGGGTGGAGAAGAGAGAGCAGCTTTCTCACCAGTATAAGAAAGAGTAAGTAAATCAGCTGATACTGACACCTAAGATTATAAATGAAATTCAGGCAGGTGAAGAAGATAAGTATACTGAAGTTGGGCCTGAACATATACCAGATCTGCAATACTAAAGCAGGTAAGATGTTCTGGTCTTCAAGGCAGATAAAAGGTTTTGAGCTGTATAAAAATAGTTTGTAGTAGAGGGGAAGGAGGAGGGGAGAAGGGGAAGAGAGAGAGTTTGTAATGTAAGGACCCTTCTACACTAGTTGTCTCAATATTTCCAACACAGTTCTGCTTGACAGTTTTAGGATGAAACCTAAATTCAGTTTAACTGACCAGTGGAAAATTAAGGGGGGATGGTACACATAAGGGATCACTGTAAACGCCATAACTTTGTTTTTCTTACTGTCATCCAAATCCTCACCAAATTTCCCTTTCTGCTAGGGCACTCTAACATACAATCCTTTCCTCCCCTCAGCACATCTGAGCCTCACCACCTGGCAAATCCTTACTAGCTTTTCCTTATGCTCCACTCCGTTCCCCATCTATAATGCCGGTGCCTCCATCCCACCACCGAGTCCCAAAGGCCTTGTTGAATCGCGCTGGGGGTGGTTACACAATTTACTCTTGGCACTTAATTACGGTAGTTTACTGGGGGGAAACGGACACAAATGTATTTCATAGTACCTAGCTTTCTCTGTTGACGAAATGAGGAAGTTCACCTCCCAATCTTGGTCCTATGAATTACATGTAAGCTTCACCCCTAAACTGGTAACAGAGTGGCACCCTGCTGCAGGCTGCAACATTTCTTTAATGCGGTATTACAAAACTTGGAAAAACATGTTTATGTTGAATGCGAGTTTTCTCAACCAACCATGCAACTGAGAAACATTAAAGAATGCCACACTAATAAGAAGAAATACCTCATGTGTTACACAACAGCTCTCACCAGACCCCCTTCACTCCATCCAAACTCCCTGACCTTGTCCAGCTTTTCAATTATATGAGAGAAAACAAAACCACTTGTCCTTAAACTGTCAAGAACCAGGAACAAAATAAATAAATTTCACCAGCCAACATCTGGTTGACATTGGAAACTTGCAGGCATAAAAATAAATCTTTCATAAACTATATAAACAAAATAGTTACAACCAATTAATTTTCCCATGTGAATGCTATTATTCTACTAAGAATATCATTTCAGGTCTAAGTTATATCACTGCAAAAAGGCTTAAATCAGACAGAGAAGAAATACTCATTCTTGAATAAATGTGCATGTAGGAAACCCAATACAACTCCACTAGTACCCTACCACATTCTCCTATACAAAGCCCCAATTTTGATTTCTCTTGTTGCAGCAGCTGGAACGAAGGCAGCTATCCAGAAGGAAGGGCCCGTCCATGCATGAAGACATGGCCTCTGCTAATGTTGGCTGTTACTGGCTCGCCAGCTCTGCCCTGGGGAGATACAGATCTTCCTTCAGGTAACAACTGAAATATGTTACCTTCCACACTGTTTTCTCACCAAAGAACCACTCTCTCGAGTTTTACAACAGTCCAAATTAAACAGGGAACAGAAAAATAACTAGCAGGAAGCAAAAGGAAACCTACATAAATTTTACCCCTATGAAAAAGCTCCCCAAACCACCACAGGCAGACAACTCAGTTAAACTTTTCTAGGGAAAGTTTTGCATTATCAGTTCCTGCTGCATACCACTGGTCTTAAAAATAAAACAACCTGATATGTTCCCTAGGAATATATTTAACAATATAGTTTTGACCAAACAGTTAAATAAATTAGTGAAGATTTCTGAAGATCAGCATAGAGTTTCTGGAACACAGAAGGAGAATTAGTGATGCAGACAGAAACTTCTCAGATTTGCAAATAACTAGGTAATATGGGAACCTACTTAGGCAAATACTGATGTTATAATTACCCAGTAAATAACCTAGCTACCCAGGGACAAAAACAGGTTTCTTCTCTACCCTCACTGTTGTCCTCCCCAACCCTCAAAAGATGAAATTTCAACTCTATGGCAGAAATTAGGAGGAACTTACATTCTTTCTGCCACACTCCTAAAAATCATTCCAGTCTGTAATATTGTATTGTCAGCTGCATGAGAAACAGGTGATTTAATTAACAATATAAACATGTGTATCTGATTTTCATTTATTGCCAGATCAATATCAGCCAATGTAAGTTTCAAGCTGCTTTTTAATTGTAGTTGGACATGAGGCATGAACATTTAAATACTTGACCATGTAATTAAGCATTCAAATTAATACAGCCTTCAGTGTAATTAGAAGCAGCCCAACATTGACACAAAAGCACATGCACAAAGCATTACTGTTGCACCTTTCCAGTGACAGGTGACCTTCCCCTCCATGAGTTGAATCAATGCCAGAATTATGAACTGCTTCATAGTGCTTGAACAGCTCCTCAGCTGATCCATGAGACTTCATACAGAGAGGACAAATAAAGCCCTATTATAAAAAGGAAAAGAAAAAAAGAGAGGTGAGAAGTAAAAATTTCTTTTTTAATCTTATTTTTACACAGAATTCTGAATTTTGTTTGTGCATCTAAAAGGTAGCAAATACAATTGTTAAGAGTCACACTAATTATTTCTCACTCTGATAACAGCTTTGGCAATTAAAAAGTTAGAAAATGCCTACAAAAGTAATATTTCATTATTCAGTGGGGTTTTTCCCCAACAGCATTACACACTAGCAACAAAACTTTTATTTAGAAAAATAAGAAGTCATTTCAGAAGGAGTGCTCTGCAATTTCTCCCCCCCCCCCCGAAAAGAATTTTCCATACAACTTTTCATAAGATCAGATTCTTCTTCCAAAGCGGAGGTAGGGTTTGGAGATTGGCCTTAAAAAAAGGATATACAAAAACCCACTCTAAAGCACAGCTATTCATACACCTATTACCACCATATTTAAGCTACTGATTTTAATATAAGACAGAAGATTAAGAACCACTTTTTACCTTGCATATAATTAATTAGTGAATGCAATTCAGAGAAATACTACCTCGAGAAAATCACATGTCTGCAGCCTAAAGAATCAGAAATCACCCATTTTCATTCCAGCATATTTACTGCAGGCTTACCACAGTGAAAATTTAGCAGAGCAATGCCCTCACTCTACCAATTAGCCCACAGACAAATGAAAACAGTAAATATTATGTACCTCTAAATATTTGTGGAGTGTCCAAACTGCCATTTATCAGAAGTACCAACCATTTCATTTTATCTATCAACCTATTACACCTGCTTTTAAGGGCTGGACTTTATATATAGTTTTTTCACTCATTTGGTTATCATGCCAACTCCAAGCCCAATTCCCATTTACGCTACAGCCCATAAGCACCATAAGTGGCAAAACAGAGACCTTTCAGAGTGGGTGGAAACAATTTAGTGTGACGTTAAAGGCTCCCTGTAATTCCAAGCTGTGCAGAGAGAACCTCATGTAAGTGAGATTAAGGCCCAGTTTCTTAAATACACCTCAAATACACTTTTGCACATTTATACGTTACCCTTAAGTCCCTTATGCCTGTACAAATTATAGCGCACTCCAAAGCTAAACCAAAGCTCCCTAGTACCCAAGATGAGAGAGTACTCCTGTGGGATTATCATACTTCGTGTAACATATGCTTCCGTACCATTTCTGAAGGATGTATGAAGAGTTTTGACGCTCCTTTTCTTCTCTTAACTTTGTGTTTGGATGTTACGAGACAAGCCACAAAACTTTAAATATTAGCACAAAATGAACATACTGAATGTGTCTGCTGATAACCACAATAGCACTCATTTTCTAACTTGACATTCACAGTATTTTGTTTTACTAGTCACTAAGAATTCCACAACCAAACACTTACATGGATTTAACCCAGGAGAACCATCACGTTCAGCTACTCAGGTGTGGCCGGAGCTCCTGAGCACTGAACAGGGACATCGTAACTGCTATTACTTGTTTAGTGTTTCACAAATAAATAACTAAATACAGTTGCTTGTCAAACCCACCACATGTATTGAAGACTAATTTTGGCACAACTAGATCAAACAAAACAGTATACTTCCTACGAAGCAGAAAACAGGCATTTAGCCTTTACAACCATTTATTTACTTCCAGAATTGATCAGCAGATTCACTCCAGATTAAACCAAGTTAACACATACGGATGTATACATGCCAAAATGGGTACAGAAAATTGGTTAAAGTACTAGGTTCCCAGTAATGTTCACCTGATACAATTAGCATATAATTATATGATGGCAGTGACAGTTACTCTGAGCAAAAGAACCAGAGGGAGATTCCCAGCAAACAGCAATGGCAATGAACTATAGGAAGGGTCAAAAAGCAAGAGATTTATTCTTCCTAGTAGGTGAAAGCAGTCAGTCTCATACAGTCATGCTACAACAGCATCCTTTTGGGATGAATGCTACCAAGCAGTTCTCAATGTTTAGTTTAGTTTCCCAGTGATGGGAAGGTCTGCTGTTCACAGAGAAAAGCAAATGTTCCTCCTAGCACCAGTAAGTGCATCTGGAAAGAACGAGTGTAGAAAATTGCTCTGGCCTCTCCTTCTTTTTGCCCTTTATTTCTTTCCATTTAAACAGCAAAGTCTGTTTCTTTTCTTGGATTTTTGTGGGGGTTTTGTGGTTGGGTTTTATTCTGTGGAAATAGGAGTCCTGGAGAAGAGGAAGAATAGATTATATGTGCAGTTAGCTGGAGGGGACAGCAATCAATCATTTGTCTCAATTATTAGGCAAAGCCCAAGATTTCCCAGACAGGCAGGCAGGCAGATGTGGAGGCAGTGGCTGCCAGGATGAGGAGCCAGAGGCAGAGCAGAGCTGCCAAGCCAAGGGAACGTGCTGCGGCTGAGAGCCCGCAGGGTGGACGGGAGCTCTGAACAGGCAGGCGTGCTGTCACCAGCAGAGGGGGGAAGCATGGACAAAACTCCTTTTTACGGTAGAAACTCCCTTCCTCTCACACAGGCAGGGGTAAAAACTGCATCACCCACCAGCCCCAGCCTCTCCACTAGCCCTGCCACGACCACGGCGGGCCTTGCTTTTTGGGGGGACCTAGTGCTGGTGTCAGCGCTGGATTACAGCTCTCACATGCACCCTTTACTCTAACGCAGCGTTTCCTAGAGGTCTGACACACAAGCTCTAGGAGTAAGATGTAACCCTTCTGCCACGGGGCATCCTTGCCAGGGAAAATGCCCTCCTTCCCTCTGCAGAGCTGGGGTGGGCAGGAACGCCGGCTCCTCCAGCTGCAGGCACCACCGCTCACACACTAGAGCCTTCAACTGCACGAACCCAGTGTGTCTCGCAGGCTGATAATATTCAGATGTCAACTCTGATGTCAGCAGCATTAATTCAGTTCTCTTTATAGTAAGAAAATCAGTATCGTCGGGATCCTCCTGGGCACCCGACAGTAACAGACAGAAGCATAGAGGTTTCCTGGGTCTGCAACTCTTAGCCCCAGGACACAATCTTATTTGGAGAGCTGGGTTAGTGGGTCTCTCACTTTATCTCTTTTTTTTAAAAAAAAAACATAAATGCAGCCATAAAAATACACCCCTCTCAGCACCATCTCAAGACGAATTTTGAAAATATATGCAAAAGTATATTTTACTTATCTAAAGACAAATGTGTGAGAAGAAGGAAGAGGGGAAGAAACCTGATGATCTGAGATGCTTAGATCTGGCAAGCATTTTTGTTAGTTTGCAGGAATTTATATCAAGTGCAAGATAGTCCTGTATCGGGACCATGTCTGCCCTGGATAAAGAGATCACGCAGTTACAACCATAAAATGTAACACTGGTCACCACAACCTGGGGGAGTGGAGGGTCCTTCACAGTAAGCCTGCACTTGGCTGCCTTAACTAAGACTCCTTTACAGGAGAAGCAAGAATAAGAGCAATGTTTTTGTATTTGAGGAAGGAAGCTACCATATTAAACATGCACAGTTACAGTTTTCAAAAGGCTGTATCTGCCAAGAGACACTTGGTAGGTTTCCTTTTAAAACGCATTTAGGAATTACTTTGCATAAAACACTGCCACAGAGAAGTGAAAGGCATTGCATATTCTTCATTTAATAAAAGCAAAGACATCACTTATAGCCCTTATAGTGCTGCACCGTTAAGTTGTAACTCCCTAACTGATGTTTCTAATTGGGCTTTATCTTTCACTTTACACAGGGAGCAAAGAGCTTAAAAGAAGTTAAACGGTGATTAGTTGGGTTTTGTTTTTATAAGTAGAGAATCTTTTCACCAGGAAATGACAATTTATTGAATCCAAAGCTTTTTGCAGATGCCTGTCAGTTAATGGAAAACAAAAATAAAACCACAACCATCACGTGCACAAGTTTTTATCAGGAAAGAGTTCTTAAGATCACCACAGAATTGCTGAAGCACAACAGAGCAAGAACAGTAAAAAAGGAGTCCAAGCCAAAACACCATACACACGCATGAACAAGCCGCTACCAGTCAGCACACAATTTACAGCTCAGAATAGCCCCTGGCCCAGAGGACAAGGCATTACAACGGGAGCAAGAGAGGTGCTGAACTTCAAATGCCAATTTTCTGATCCCAAGGGAAATGTTCCTTTCAGGTGGATGCCTGAGAGCCCTGCCTAGCACCAACAGGTCTTCCTCAGTGCAAAGACTCCAAAACACACCAGTTTCACGCACAGCAGAACAGAAATTGCTACACAGAAGTTTTGTGGGAAAGTGTTATAATGTCCTTGAGTTATAATGCCAAATCGCAGCAAAGACCTCGGACTCTGTGGAAGCACCAGAGGCTTCTTTACTTGCCTTTCTCAAGGCAGACTTACGAATAAGCCTGCAGAAGAATGTTTGTAGCTACTTTTCCTCTCTAAGATTTACTTTCAGGCCTGGTAAAGTTAAGCTTCTCAGTGCTCTCTCTCCTAAAAGTCACACGAGGTAAATGACTCCTTTCAGGTAACATTAATATTTGTACAAATCATTAATACAGTATTCTTTGGGAAGCATGCCAGGATGCTAAAAGCAAGACTGGAAGGAAACTCTTACCACAAGAACAACCATATTTATTTTTACTGTACCAATATAATTTACAGGGCTATTAACTGTTGGAAGAACTTTGGCCTCCCACATCGAAACGCACTGCCCAGCGCGAGCAGGGGCACGGACCCACAGGCACATGGCACACAACCAGACCTGACTGCAGGCTACCACAGAGCCCTCCTAATCCTCAGACTATTCTAAAACTGATTCAGAAATAGTTTACATAAGAGAAAAATTAATGTATAGGACAGAATGGAATCTGTTTCTCTGGCTTCTCCTTGTATTAGTCTGTAGGATTGGGGGGGAATAGGGTGGTGGTGTAAAAACATATTTCTGAAAATTTCAGTCTTCTCAGAATATTGTCTTACTTGTAATGTTTTTTTTCCTTGCCATTCTGCATAAACCTGATCTAATTGTGTGGTGTGATGAGGC